CGCTTTGGGGTCCTTAGGGACTAGTAAAGGCCATTTACCATTTAGCAAAGGATGGTCACAGTCTATCCTAAAGTAGCAAATAAAGAAAGCACTAGAAGCAATGGAAACCAGTCCATGTATTTGGAACACACACAAAAAACAGTGCTTTATATCTTCAAAATAGACGTCACTGTTTTCGTTCACCTGCTGTTTTTTGAGGGCCATGAGTAACTCATTTATCACGTGTTAGGGTTAAATGAGATGTTCTTTTTGATCGGGAAGAAGTGACTGATGGATATCTGCACTGCATATCTACTCCAGTTATGCAATGTTGAAACCATCAACCATCATCAAGCATCAGAGTTGGGTGAACATTATAATAAGTGTTAGAAATGCCTGCAGGATTATTGCCTTATATTGGGTTCTACTTTCAATTTGGTAGATCGAGCGGATGGTTAAATTAAAGCAATACACATTTTTAAATGGGCTTATTTGCAGGTTTATATTATTTTACAGTGCTCTACTGCTGCTACACAAGCAGCTCTGCACTGTAACAACAGTAAAAATATAACAGAGCACACTCACTCATGACTCTCCAGACTTTGCCAACAAAGTGGGAACTGACTCGTCTTTCAGGACTAACCGCCGCAAACATCCAGCATTGAACCGGTTCAGGAAGCAGCTCTCGGTAAAATGAATGAGCATAATACGCGGTTGGGGTTGTACTGCTGAGGAATAGTAGTGAAAATGAATTTAACCACTGCTCCTTCACTTCGTCTTTCTGTGGCAGTGTATACAAAGGGAGTTTACGTTCGCACTGAAGACAATAACGCCTCCTCGACGTGACTGACACCGCTAACCAAAACCAAACTGTTTCTGGGTTCTTCTGTTTGTTTCTGGGCAGATTTCAGTTTTTTACACTGCCATCTACAGTACTGTATTATGTAGTGCAGGTTCTGTTTACTGCAGTTTATTATAGTTTGATGAAATTGATTAAAAAAATCAATACATTAAAAAAACAAAACAGTTTAGTTGTTTATTAGGATATGTGTTACATTCTCCGACCTTTCACACCTTATTTCAGTTTGTATGCATTTCACACTTTGTATTCATCGAGTTTCAGGTATGTTACAGTTTGCTTAGCATTCCTAAACTTTCCTATATAAATGTATATTTTTCTATTCATCAATCAATTATTGTCCTGTTATCCTTATCAGAATCGCAGGAATGGCTGGAGCCTATCCCAGCTACCATATGGGGAGAGGCAGGGTGCACCCTGGACAGGTCACCAATGTGACACAGGATTATATTTTTTCCATTATATCTTACATTTCAACCTTGAAGTGATGTTTAAGCAGAACTTTCTGCTAATTTTGGATAAATGTGGGGCCACACTGTTTTAAAGGAAACTCACGTGTCTGTGAGTCACTGGTCAGCATTACTAGCAGTGGGAATTTTTTTTAATAATCTGGATGGAAGCTAAAAGATTTATTTAGGGAATGGGTGGAGATTTTAAGACTTCAGCATTATAAAGAATAACTCAAGTACAAGCAGGGTCATCTTGGCCTTTAAATGGTTTTAGAAAATAGTAGTCTGCGGTTCCTTCAATGAATACAAGTGTATAAAAAGCAGAATAACAATTACTACACCCTATAAAAGAAAAGAAGAACAGCAAATAGTCACCATAACAGAACTTTTTGTTACAACAAATCTGTTAAACCTATATGTGTGTGTTTTTAGCTGATAAAGTAGCCCTCGCATTACATACAGACTCATATACAATACAACATTAACAATACTAATGTACACTACTAACTTACCCCTCATTTCTTTATATTTTGCTTGGAAAATGGGAAATGAATGCAGTGATTTGATGAGGCAAGCACAAACATACACGGAAATATACTATATAAGGCAAAAACAGAGTTTGCAAAATTCTAACAAGTTTAAATATATATTTGGTTTGACAACCTGAACTCTTCAGAAGTCTTCAGGAATAGTTCTCCATGGTTCTTAAAGAACATTCAAAGCTCTTCTTTGGATGTTGACTGCCTTTTTGTCAGTTCTCCCATCATCTCTGTCAAGATGACCCCACGCTGCTTCAATATTGTTGAGGTCTGGTGAGGCCAATGGTATTGCATAGTGATTGCACTTTTCTACATTCATAATTCCATCAATTATTATAAGATCTCCAACACCACTGGTTGAAATTCAGTCCCAAACCACGAGAGACTCCACCGTGTTTTGCTGTAAACACTCACTGCTGTACGTCTCTGCAGACCTCAAATTGATGATGATTTGAACAAAACTTTAAAATTTGAATTCATCACTCCATCAGAGCCTGTTCCTCTGTTCTCATCCAGTTCTCGTGTAAACTAAATTACACAGTTCTTGTGTAATTTAGCATACGTCAGCCTTTTCTCCCTGTTTCTCTTCCTTAGAAATGGCTTCTTGATAGCCATTCTTCCACTGAGACTATTTCTGATGAGGCTTCTACATCTGCTGATAGTTTTCTTCTCTTTTCTTTTTAGGCCTGCCACATCTTCTTTTGTAAACGCCTGTAAAACATGTCAAAACATGCCCAGTTTTCAGCTATTAGCTCAGAAAATCCTTTGTTAACTGAATGTCACTTGCTAAATATAGGTTTAGTATGATTTCTAGGTCACAAACTAAATTAAAGCCTTGAGTACACAGTAAATACAACATTTTCTAATACATAAACATAAGCAAAGCATTTTTAATAGCTTAGACAAGAAGTCAATATAAAATTAGAATGTAAACTGAGGCTCAGAGCAGATTTTTTTCCTTCGGTGGTTTTCGTTAGTTTCAAATTACAAGGACACAAATTACAAATTACAGCTGTGACCAGTCACAAAGCGAAATATTCTAAAGGAATAAATCAGACACAATGACGATGCTTCTTTACAGCTGCAAAACTCTGAGTCCAGAACTGTTTCCAGAGCTGAAGTTTCAGATTTTCCAGCATGTTTTGTGACGCTCTTTGTGCATCATTCTGTCCCTGCGTCATCCAGGTGCCAGCCTCCACGTGGCAGACAGCCGTTACTTTTGGTTCCACCACAGTGAAGGCGACACCATGAGCGTCCAGGACCCTCGAGACATGGACCTCTGCTCGGCATTGTGGGCCGTGGTTGCTTATGTCGTGGCAGACCTGCAGGAAATGCTGCCCAGATAGCACGACCTGCTGTGAACTCTACATCTTTACATAAAGCAAAACTCTTGTTAAATTATATTTCTAAAAAAAGACTTGATCCAAAGTCCATTCAGATGAAAAACTGACATTCTGTTCAAAATGATTTCTTTGTTTTTGTTTCAAGACAAACTGCCACCTTAGTTAGTGACACAAACTGATCAGCCGTCTTGTGATACAACATACATCCTCTTTTTTGCACGACAGTATAACCATCGATAAAAGCCTAACAGCTATTTCATTTTGCACAAATGCACTCCTCCGAGTTTGTGTTTTTTCCATCTGACCACATGCAACTTTCTGCACCATCTTTATACTTATCAACCACACTGTGTTTGTGTGCTGTTTCCTTTACTGTTACTAAAACTGAATCTGAAGCAGAGGGTAGAGCAACCATGGCAGTTTGTCTTGAAACAACTGTAATATCCACATTATGACTTTTTTTTCCATGAAAAAAGTTTTTCGACTCGAAATTTTAACTTTATTCTCAAAATGATCTATACATGTTTTTCTTAACGTGGCCCTAACACTCCTTCGTATCAAAGAGATGCTTTTATATAATGATTTTTAACACAGAAGAGTATATTATGTTATGAATGAGGAGAAATTATTTTTTAATGAATGTGTTTTTAAATTTAGGGTTATTGTAGACAAGGAGGGATAAAATATAGATCTGAGTACTGTAATGTTATGTGCAATAGGAGGTTTGTTTAAGGTGTGTGAAATTAAAGAAATGGATTACAAAGTTGGGGAACTCCTGAGTCCACGTCTTTCTCTGTTTCTAGTCTTCTTCAAGGAACCTTTAAAAGCTTTAATGGTTTTCACTTTAAGAAAAAAAATCATTTGTGGTAAATTTTTCTAAGTATTTTCAGAGTCTTTGTATTTCCCCCAGTGCCAGTTTCAGTTTAAGTAACAGCTGACATTGTTAAAGTATTGATTGTACTACACATTAACACCCATCTTCTCTTTAACACCCATCTTCTCTTTAACACCCATCTTCTCTTTAGCTGCAGTTCTTTCTTTTAATGTTGTTTCTGTGAAGAAAGGGGGAAGAATGACACCAGAGCAAACCACACTACACATCTAGTTCACAGAAAGAAGAAAAAAGCAGAATAGACGAGCAGGAGCAGATATGATGGTGGATCACACATGGGAGGAGAGGAAGTAAAGATTATTAATCACTTTGTGCGTGTTATGTAGACCATCACAGCCGATGCAATAAACACAGCTGGGATCTCTTACCCCATGCACTGACAAGTCAGCACTTCCAGTGGGTGAAGTCAGGGATAGTCAGCCAGCCAGATAAACTCAGCGTGTGTGTTGAAACACAGAAATGATCAGCTTTGTGTCGTGTCTGGTGAGATCTTCATGTGTCAGTAACACTGACTCACACTCAGACAGTTGTGGTCATGAAGGAACACAGTCTGCATCTGTGGGTGTTTTGCATGCTGGAGTTAAACATATGTGCCACTGACGTGTCCTATTTAAAGCACAGTGCTTTCTGAATTTATTTTATCCTGCTTAACTGAATTTCAGTATCCTCAAATGTCTGTGAAGGTTCTCAGTCATCCAGGTCATCGTAGTCAAAGGAGCTTGCAAAGAAAAGCGTCTGGACTTCTTTAAGTTACTTGAAGACGTTTCAC